TCTTAGAATTCCTTAGAAATTTTGAAGAATTTCTTCAGGATTCACCTCAAAAGTCACCTACTGGCCATCCTGGCTGCTAGAGCTTTCCACTCTAAGGTTACTTATCATTTACTCTATATGTATCTGAACTATACCTTTTTATATAACCCCCTTCCCCCCACTTTAGGATGTAATTGAGGATAGGGATTATCTTTGCCTTTCTTTGTATCCCTAATGCCTGACACATAGTAAGTGCTGAACTGACTGTTGACACCAAGCCTAGGGTAGGATGCCCCAGACTGAGCCTCTTCACACACAGACACACACCCAATCTCTGCCCCATCCCAGATGATCCATAGACCACCAAAGTGTCCCAGTGGTAGTAGGGCATTATCTGTGAAGCTGGCCTTCTATGGTCCCTCATGTGCTTCTCTGGGCCAACCAACCCATGGAACCCATGAGACAACTAAAGGAGCTGAACTGTGCTCTCTGAAAGGCAATTACCAGGTGCTTAGTTGACTCAGAGGATTAGACACCACCCCTGCCTCCACTTTAGATTAAGTTTAGCCTCTGGTTCTTCAGAGGGTGACAATGAGAATCACTAGCAGGATGAAGGCAAAATGAAAGGGTCGGCTCTTTGTGTTCCTAACTAAAGGAAAGCCAGGCACCTTCAAAACAAAATGGTGGAATTCTCCATTTTAGCAGCTTCAGGGTAGTGGCAACATCCCTGAATCTGGAGTCAGGAGCTATGAAATACAAATCTGCTTTTGCTTTTTACTGCCTATACGACCTTGGGTAAGTCACTTAAAGCCAGTCTCCTCATCTGGAAATTAGAGGATAACAGTAGACCATCTCTAAGGTCCTCTCCTATTCTACATCCTATGATTTTCAGTTGTGTCTGCTGTGCTACCCCCTACCTTTTCTATTTACATGTCAACTTCAGTTGACTTATTATTTGAGCCCTTAGCTAATTTCTTCATTCTGCACCTTTAGTGTGTGGCCATCCCAGGTCACAGCCTAAATGTAAGAGAATTCCAGGCCAGCTCATCTGAGCCTTAGCCTAGCAAGGTGGAGCTGAACTTTGCCTTTCATTCTCTAGCCAGGCCCATTAGAGAACTATTTGGAGGTTCGTGACTTCCCTGCTGTTGCAGAGAGCTCTAGTTTTAATTTAATGCAGCTGTGAACTTAGCATCAGTTTTCTGTTCCACAGAATGAGGAACATTTGGGAAAAGAACAAAAGGCAGGGAGTACCTACCTCCTCCCCTGAATTTGCTGCTGCACGTACCATCACTTGATGACACCAAGGTCAGCATCTTTGAAGGAGTACAGCATTGCCCAAGAGCAGCCTTTGGTCTCTTTTTGAAGATATATGGCACAGTGGAACGAGCACTAGTCTGAGAGTCAGAAAACATGGGCTCAAACCCAGAATCCGACACTTATGGGAGCTTATGAAATTTGCCTCTCTGAGTCTCAGTTTTCTCATCTGTAAAATGGGAATAATCTCTGCTCCATAACATGGTTGTGAGGTCATTGTGTATCCTCAGCATTACTCTGAGATCATGTATGCAAAGCACTTAAAAGCCTTAAAGTGAAATGCTGACTGTTATCATCATTATATCCACAAATTGCATAATGGAAAGGCCATTGGAATCAAATGATGAGGGTCCATATCCCGACTCTGTTGTTCATTTCCCTGTGGGACCTTGAGTCTTAAGCTCTCTGGGCCTCAGTTTGTAAAATAAAAGCGTTGGAGTAGGTGCTTTCTGAGGTCCTTTCCAGCTCTAATTCTATGACCTCATGAAGTCATCTATGGAGGAATCATACAATTTAGAATCTGGAAGTGAACTTAGAAATCATCTAATCTGCCCTGGAGTCAAGAGAACTGAGTTCCAATCCAGCCTCAGACACTTACTAGCTGTGTGACCCTGGTCAAGTTACTTAACCCTGATTGTGAAAGAAAGAAAGAGAAGAGGGAGGAGGGAGGGAAGAAAGAAAGGAAAGAGGGGAGGAGGGAAAAAAGGAAGGAATAAAGAAAAGGAAGGGACAGAAGGAAGGAAGGAAGAGAAAAAGGAAAAAAAGCAACAAAGAAACAAAGAAAGAAATCATCTAATGCAACCATTTTGCAGAAGAGCAAACAGAGGTCCAGGGAAATTAAGTCTTGCCCAAGGTCCCCAGGTAGTAATAGAACCAGGTTTTTGAACCCAGGCCCTCAGATTCTAAATCCATTACTCTTTCTACTACACTGATCTATGGGAGACCAGGAGGGATTAAAGCATGGATCTTCAAAGGATCAAAGTAATATTGTTATTGTTAATGATTCCATTGGAGCCCAGGCTACAAAACCTCTGTGGGCCTTGGTTCCTCCATCTAGTAGTGCCTAATGGAAGATTTCATGATTGTGGAAGAAAATATCAGCTATCAGCTAGGGCCTCATAGCTATACTACCTATTAAGTACCTAGAGGACCTACCTCAAGACTGTTATCCCTACCTCAATATCCAGTGCAGTGTCTTGAACATGTTGCAGCTTAATAAATATTTCAATTGAAAAAACAAACTCAACCGGGAGCAAGAAGGATCCATGGGTATCAGGAAGAGGAAGAGCAGGTCTGACTCTCTGCAAAATTGTGAAATGGGTCAAGTTTGTCTTTTGGTACGTCCCATTTTGCATCTCAGGACCAGCAGACTCCTGGCGTCCTTTACTCAGAGCCAAGTGTCCCCAGGACGCTCAGACACCTCACCTGCCCCCACAGACACAACCTCCTGCCAGAGTTTTCCTTCTCCAAGCCATTCCCAGGCTCTGTTCTCCTTGCTCAGAATTGGACTGGGTCATGTCCACCTCATTCTATTACTGCCACTGAACAAGCTGCCCCTACCAGAAATGGTCTGAGAAACTAACACAGTGCAAAGTGTTAATAGCCTTAAGGAAACCAGTGTGTACCTTTGTTTGAAAGCGGGTCTGATTGTTTACATTTGGTTTTAAGATATTCAGAGGAAAAGGGCTGGCACCCTTAAGACTTAAAAGCTGGTTTTTATTGGCAGTAAGGCTACAAAACTTTCAATGTCAAACAAAGAAGGAATTCGCTGCTAATGGAATATTGGATGCTGATCAAGGAGGACAGAGAGAACTGAGTAGCAGAGGAGAGAAAGATTTAAAGGATCTCAGAGTTGGCAGGGCCTGGTTAGAGGTCATCTAATCCAACCTGTACCTGAGTATCAACACCTCCCACTGCATCCCAGCTAATGGTCATATGGCCTCTGCTTGGAAGCTCCAGTAATAGCTAGGGACCCCTACATCCCAAAGCAGCTTGTTTTACCACTGGACAACACAATATCTCATTTTGTTCTGTCATATCTGAGTCTTCATGACCCCATTTGGAATTTTCTTGGCAAAGATGCTGGAGTGGTTTGCTATTTCCTTCTCCAGCTCATTGTACAGATGAGGAAACTGAGGCAAATGGGGTTTAATGACTTGCCCAGGGTCACACAGGTAGTGAGTGTCTGAGGCCAGATTTGAACTCATGAAGATGAGTCTTCCTGCTTCCAAGGCCAGTGCTCTATCTAGCACAGTATCTGGCACATAATAAAAAATATCTGATTGAATGATGTGTGATACAATACAAAGAAATAACAAAGGTCCTAGAATCAGAGGAACACCTGGGACCTGAAAAGCACCTCTGAATTTTATTCCCTATGTGACCCCAGGCAAACACACCTCTGGGCCTCAGTTTGCTCATCTGTAAAATGCAAGGAGCTGCGCTAGATGGCATCTGAGGTCCCTTCCAGCTCTCTTTCTGGTGGCATCCAGGAGTAAAGATCTTGTTCTCTCACAGCCTGGGCACCCATGTTGGGTGGGGAAAAAGGCCACCACCTATCCCACTCCCCTAGGCTCAGTGGTCCTGAGAAATGAGCTCGTGGTTTTAGTCTGTTTGGTTTGTTTGCAGTTCTTGGTGCAGGGAATAGAGTCCCTGCACCTGGAAGTTTGAGCCGTGGGGACCTTGGAGGCAAGATTCCAAGCACAGTGTTACTGCTGGCCCAGCAGGGAAGCCCTGAGAAGCCAGTGTGCTGAAAACAAGAAAGCTTTGAACTCAGAACTTGGGGGGAGTGATTCTATCTAGAAACTGAGCTAAACTGTGAACCTAATCCCACTCCCAATCCAAGAGACCAAAATCGTGATGTAAGGAGGATTATGCCCCCTACCAGATGTTGGGAAGGAATTTTGTATATTGTTCTTACTATAGTTTTGAAGTAAATATTCCTTCCAAAAAGTTAATCCCACTGTTGAGTGGTTAAATGGAACTGGGATGCTTGGACTTCTAAAATTGAGGAACACAGTTGTTGGGGGCTTGAGCCAATAACAGAGACTAGAGACCCCCCCCCCAACCTCCTTTAAGGATACTGGAGAACCCTTAAGGGAGGGGTGAAATATGAAGAGATCTTCAGGCAATAGGAGCCAGGGTTATTGACAGAGATCACAACTGTTGCAGGGGATATTAGGATATTAGGAAGTCTCTTAGTATAGACAACACTTTTTCTGCTTCCCTAAACAGAGCCTAACTTTGCATTAACCTTTTTCATCTATGCTGTTACTGTACCACTGACTCATAATGAGCTTTCAATCCACACACATCTTTTATGTGCAAACTGTTGTGTACCTATACCAAGTATAACTAATCATTCTGGAATTGGAAGAAGAGAATCCTAGAGGCACAAATGCTAATTTTTTTTCCTGGAGATATTTTTCACATCCCATCATGTTGCATCTACTTACCCATCCCTGTTCTTACAGATAACACTGAACTTGGGGAAGAGAATGTCCCTCAGAGAATGGGCTGATTAAAATATAGCACTAACCTTCACCACCAGGACCAGGTACCTCCTTTACCAGAGGATAAGTACTGGGGAGTCTGAGGTCAATGTCAATTTCCTCTCTGCCTGGGGAGCTGTCCCACAAGTGACTTCATAATTCCCTCTCATGTTAGTCTCTCCAACTGGCCATGAGGGCCCCACACAGCAGGCAACAGGGATCGGGGGATGCTTCACCAAAATGTCAAACTTGGCACCACGGTCTTCCTTCTCACCTCACATCCCAGATACTACAGAAAAACCTAGCACTTCATCCTCGTCAGCAAAAGGAAAAAGAAAAGCCATCTATCATGTAAAACCAACAGAGGACACTAAGATGTTAGATTTAAAATCAATGAAATGGGATGCTGTGAAGCAGAAGACAGGATGGAGGGAGGCCAAGGAAAGAAAGCAGCCAGATATGACATATAACATGGAGAGGCTGGAACAGAAGCAAGGGAAGTCCTTGGCTGTTGCCCCCAAGAAAGAAAGCAGCCAAGTATGCAAATGGGATGGGTAGAGGTGAAGCCTCTTGGAGGGCGGGACCCCTTTGATTTCTCCTTTCACTTAGAACATAATCTGACTCACACAGAGTATGAGTGGGATGGATTGAAACACAAGGCCCATTGACCCTGAATAGCCATGTATCTGTGGAATTTGGTCTCCTTTCTACGGAGGATGCTGCCTGCTTGCCAGTTCATAGAACCCCAGTGAAAAGGGCCTTGGACAGATCACATATGTCCAACCCCCTAATTTTACAGATGGAAAAAGCAAGGCCCAAAGAGGCAAATGACTTGTTGGAAGTCACACAGTGAGTTTGTGGCAGAGCCAAGACTAAATCCAGGCCTCTCAACTCATGTTCAGTCCTCTTGACACTGAACAATGCTGTCTCATTCCATAGCCTATGTTGCAGAGAAGGTAAAGTGTCTTTGTACTTCTGGCTAACTTTTTTTCACTCTTTTCCCTCCCATAAGCACCCTCTCCCCTTTTCGGGCAAGCAATGCTGTCTTGCTATGAGAGAGGCATGAACTCTTTCACAAAAGCTTTTAGTGACTTGATGGTATTGTGAGGATGGGAGTGGAAGGTAGTGAGGAAAAAGATCTTCGATTTTTAGAAGAAAGCAGCTCTTAGACTTAAAGGACGCATTATGAAGCGTGTACTCACAAGCATCAGCTACAGATATTTTGGAGTAGAAGAGGCTCTTCACCATCTCTCAGCTCATACCTAAAGCATGGATGGCATGGTGAAAAAAGCATTGGTCTAATTAGGGTCAAGACACCCAGATTAGACTGAGTCAACATTCTGATATCTCCTACTGTGTGTCTATAGGCAAATCATTTACCTTACGTGAGCCTTAAGTTTCCTAATCTTTAATATGGCACTTGAGATAGATGCTACTTGGATGACCCGCCTCTCAAGGCAAGTGGGAGGATACCTTCAAAGACCATAAATTATGAACTATTATTAGTACTCTTTCCCCTACCACTTTCAATCCAGCCAGGCCTAATTATCAAGTACTTTTTCCTAGCTTATGTTTATGTTTGCCTAGTAAATCACCTCCTGGTATAATGCCCAGGAGGGTTTTTTCAAAACTGAACAAAATTGACATTTTCTGTTACTGATCCCTGGATCAGCAGAAGGAGTCAAATGAGATCACTTAGACCTAAAAAGCCACCATCACGAGAGTTTAGGAATAGTTGGAAGCTTCGTTGCCAGTCTTTCTCTGTTGACATCCCCGAACCAAGGTTTCACAGCCATTGGCTACATAGACTGCTAGTCCTATTCTTCAGTTATTCACTGCAACCTATTCTTCAGATCAATGGCGTTAAAGTTCACTTTCAGCCTTAGTGATCTGACTACATGCATAGAATAGTAAATCCCTCCTCAAATTTTAATGTGCAGACATAGACAATGGCAGGATTTAAACCCAGGGCTTCCTGATTCTGAGGCTAGATCTCTATCCATCTCATTATGCTAGCTAGGCCTCCAGGTTCGACTCCTGTTGGTGAGTCATACAAGCTATGTGAACCTTGGGCAAGTCAAAATTTCTCAGCACCCCAGGTAAACTCTACCTAATGGTTGAAGGACAGGTAGATGGATGGAGTGAAGTAAACTTTTCTCCTAAATACACACTGTTACAAATCCAATAGCTTGAGGTAGCCACTAAGGGCTGTTGAAGGTTGAGCCTTTTGGTCTCTGCTCACTGAGGCAGTAGGCCTGACCATGTCTTTCTTTTGGTTTGCTCTCCCTGGGCAGTGCCTAGAACTTGGGAAACAGAAGGAACCCAGTTGTAGGATATAGATATAGGACAAGTTGTTATTCAGCTAATAATAGCAGAACAGTTACTCAAAACCAGTATCTCCTGTCTCTCTGCCCCTGATCTTCTCATTAACCCACATTCAATCCCCCACTCCTACCCGAGGGGACTGGATGGACAGTACTCTCAGTTGACTCCCAGTTGACTCAGTTGACTCAGGTACTATTTTCCCATGGGCAGATTTCACAAGGGAAGGCAAAGGTGAAGGATAATCACCCCTGTCTTGTAGTGACTAGCAAACTGGTAGGAGTTTCCACACTGAGTTCCCTGTACTAATGAAATCACAAGTCTGCTACCAAGATTAATTAATTAATATTTAGGCTCATAGACTTAGAGCCATAAGGGATCTCAAACGCCACCTTCATTTGACAGATGGGGAAACTGAGGACTAGAGAAGTTACAAGGTGACAAAGATAGCAGAACTGGGGATTCAAAGCCAGGTCCAATAACTCTAAATCAGTACTCTTTCCATCACACCGTAGCAGTACCAATCCATTTGTATGTTGCATCAACCCTAGGAGAACGCAAATTCCTTGAGAGCAGGGGATGGATGACTTTTCTCTTTGTACTCCGCTGCCTTGCACACAATAAATACTTAATAAAGTGCTTATTGGCTTTTTATGTTTTGGTTTGGTTTTTGGCTAGGCAATGGGGTTCAGTGACTTGCCCAGAGTCACACAGCTAGTAAGTGTCAAGTGTCTGAGGCCGTATTTGAACTCAGGTCCTCTTGATTTCAGGGCTGGTGCTCTATCCACTGTGCCACCTCGCTGCTCCAATAAAGGGCTTATTGGATTAGATTCAATTGGTCCAACTATTTGAGCTGAATGCTTCTAAGCCCTATGACTCATCTCTTCCATGTTCCCTCTTTCTCCTGTTTGATTAAGAACAAAAAGTTTCAGGAAACCCTGAAGAAACTTGAAGAATACCAGATACATCAAGAAGAAAAAAGGCTTAGAAAACTCTTACTGAAACCTACAAGAGAGTACCAACTGAGCGGCTTTCCCATGTCCCGGTAAATCAGTTTCTTCTACTTCCAAAGTCTTGGGTACTACCCAGGGAGAGAAAACCAAAAGAAAGACATGGTCAGGCCTGCAGCTCTGACTTCTTGGTGCCTGCCTCAGCGAGCAGACCAAATGGCCCAACCTGACTGTTCAACAGCTCTTGGTGGCTACCTCAAGCTACTTGATCTGTAACAGTGTGTATTTAGAAGTGTCTATTTCACTCCATCCATCCATCTGTCCATTTATTTTGCCCTTTTCCTTCTGAAATCACAAATATCCCTGTCCATCCTCCCTTCTCATCCCCCAGCTCCTCCCATCCTCTTCCCCAAAAGATCCATGGACAGATAGAATTTCATTTTTAATGATGCCACCTCACACTCATTCACCATGCCGAGGTCCATTTCTCAAAGCACTTCCTCACTTATTGTCTCTATTTCATGGCACCTCTTGTAAGGTAGCTTGTTATAAACCCCATTTGGCAAATGAGTATTAAGGCCTAGGAAGGTAGAATGATTCATTCAAAGTTATTCAGCTAATTACAGCAGAATAGTTATTCAAACCAATATCTCCTGTCTCTCAGCCCATGTTCTTCTCATTAATCCACATTCAACCACCCCCTCCCCTGACTCCTATCTGGGGGGACTGGATGGGTAGTACTCTCAGTTGACTCAGTTCTTCCATGGGCAAATTTTGTAAGGGAAGGCAAAGACCTAATAGCCCCTTTGTTAAATGAGGATGCTCACTCCTGCCATGCATATCTTGTATGTTTATTGTATGGCTCAGATAAGATCCAGGCTGTGAAAGGACTCACAAATAATTGCTTCTAAGAGAGAGAAGGGACCACGTTCCCTGGGTTGTAAAAATGGAAAAGATTAAAAAGTGACCTACCTTCCTGGCCCCAGTGGAGACATCTCTTATTCTGAACCCCTTTGGTATCTCCTGAAACCCCTGTGAACTCGGCTTTCTAAGCTCATAGCTTTGTAGTCATATTGCTTAGATTTATTCTTGAACAGGGGAAAGATATGAGAGTTTTGGGGCCTCTTTCCCCCCAGACCAAAATTATGATTCCATTTCTTCTTGTACTAAGTTATTCCTGAGGAATTCCCTGAAACAAGCAAAAAAATCTCCAGAGGAGTCTACAGTAATCCAAGATCCTTACCTCACCTCTTTCTCCACTTTGAAAGATGCAAACAAGAAGTTAATTGGAGGTAAGTGGGAATAATGTTCTTGCCTTTCCCCCAAACTTGAAAGGGAACTTTTCCTGTTTCTTAAAGGATATCAGCAGCACCCTTGAATCATGCCTCTAGAGACTCATGGATTTCCTTCCTCTGGAGAAGCAAAGGATTAATTTATATATTCTCTTAACAGCCGATGGGAAAAAGCAGGGAACATTCTTGATCAAAGAACTTGGTCAAGTGGTGAAGTTGGCCAAGTTGGTCTTCAGCAATATCTCCTCCCTACTGTGCTCTTCTCCTTTCCCTCTAGGATCTGAGGAAAAGGTGATAAAACTCATTTCTTCTTGAGATGTTAGATAAGCAATGTTTTCATAGAATCATAGAAATTCCAGGCTGAATTGCACCAGGTGTTTGGTGATGATGATAATGATGATGATAGCTGACATCTATAAAACACTTTAAGACTTGCAGAATGTTTTGTATCTATATTACCTCAGTTAAGTTTCACAGCTACTCTATGAAATAAGTACTATAGATCAATCCATCCAATTGAATGGATTCAGCTACCCTATGAAATAAGTACTATAGAATCAATCAAAGGGGCAGCTAGATGGCACAGTGGATAGATCACTGGCCCTGGAGTCAGGAGGACATGAGTTCAAATCTGGCCTCAGACACATGATACTCATCAGCTGTGTTACCCTAGGCAAGTCACTTAACCCCAATTGCCTCACCAAAAAAAAAATTCAATTAAAAAAAAGCATCAATCCAAACCATTCATTTCATTTTTAAAACTTTTATTGATACCTTTTGCTCTTATACTAGTTCTTTTTTTTTTTTTCTGGTTATATACCCTAACCACCGTGGCCCTTCACCAGCCATGCAGTGAGCCTTCTCTTGTAACAAACAAAAACTGTCAATCAAAAATGCAGGGACCAAGTCTAATAGCATATGCAACATTGTATACCCATAGTCTTCTCCATCTTTAAAGACGGGAGGAAGAGCACTTCTTTATCTCCAGAACCGACACTGACCATTAGAAGTATACAACCCTGAGCTTCAATTGATTATTCTTTCTTTTAAATTACTCATTACTGTGCATATTGTTTTTCTGATTCTGCTTACTTCACTCTGCAATCTGTTCATGAAAATCCCCATAGTTCTCCAAATTTCTCATATTGATCCTTTCTTGTAATAATATTCACCCAGAAATGCACCACTTCCATGTTCATGAACTATGAAATTTCCTTATCTGATGATAGTCTACTGTCATTCCACCTTTCCCACTGCATTGCAACCCCAACCCTTGTTCTTCATCCTCACCATGACCTCTAATCCCTCCACCCCTCAATTCTTTCCCAAACTGTCAATCCTGTGCTGGCTACACTCTCTTCTCTTCCCCATCTTGACCCCTTGGGGAACCAATTCAACCCTACCCTGTCCTCCTGAATCCCTTGACCCCTCACTGCATCTTGCCTTTCCAATCCTCAGCCTTAGATAACTTCTTCCATCCACTGTCTTCTCTCCTCCACATGAGATGCTAGAGAATGAATGAATGGCTTCTAGCTTTAGCTCTTCCTCTCCCTCAGTGTAGGTGACCTTACCAAGTAACTTCCTTCTCCAGGGATCAAGTTTCCTCATCTGCCATGTGAAATAGAGATTACTTGGTCTCTAAGGTCCCTTCTAGCTCTGATATTTTGTGCCTTTGAATCTACAAGAGAGAATAATCAAAGGATATTAATACAAAGTTTAAAAAGACTACAAAAAGAGTGGATAAATGGACCACTCTACTCCTGTTGGGCAGTCAGGTTACCCTCTCTCTTGGACATTTGACGGTTCAACTTCCCTCCTCCCCTATACTGTGATCCAGTGACATTGGGTTTCTTACTGTTCTCAAACAAGACAATCTTCCATCTCTAGGCATTTTCACTGGCTGTTGCCCATGCCTGAAAAGCTTTCTCTCCTCATCTCTGACTCTTGGCTTTCCTGGTTTCAAGTTCCAGCTAAAATCACACCTTCCTTGAGAAGTCTTGCCTGATCCTCCTTAATTCTAGTACCCTTTCTCTGTGATTATTTCCAACTTACCCAGTATATTGCTTGTTAATTCATAGTTATTTGCATGTTGTCTCTTCCATTAGACTGAGCCCTTTAAGAATAGGGATGTTTGTTTACCTTTCTTTGTATCCCTAGAACTTAGCATGATACCTGGCACATGGCAGGCACTTAAATGTTTGTTGACTGACTGACCAACAGATTCTGACTCTTCAACTCTCCTCTTTAAACCTTCTTTCCCAGTCACCAAAGCCCTCTCTGTCTTTACATTTCTTCATGATTAATTTTCTACTCTTTCCAACATTATGGTATTATCTTCCATTGCAAATAGCTGTTTCTCCTACAAAGAGGTCCTTTCAGATTTAGGAAATGTCCCTATCTTATCATCACATTTACAAGCTGTCTCCAAGGGAGGGTGTTTCCTTTGTGGCTAATCTCAGCCAATCCAGAATGACTTTCATTACTATCTCTTTCACTGCTTTCTGACTTCATTGCTCATTTCTGAGGATTCCTCTCACTTAGAGCTTGCAGTTCTCCAGTCATTACAGGGCACTTTGTTTATCTATATATTCAGACTTGGGTCCTACCATACCCCAAGAGTCTTACCTTTGTCAAAGAGCACACTGTAAGCAAAAAGGCTGAGATCTATGACGGGGGAAGAGTTAGTGTGGATTATGAGATTTACAGCTAGAAGGGACCTTAAAACTCATCTTATTCAGTGCTTCCCATTCAACCTATTCAACTCTCATTTTACAGATGAGGAGACTGACCTAGAAAGAGAAATGATTTACTCTAGGTCACATAGGTAGCAATTATTTGAGAAGTTTTGCCTGATGCCTTTTATCATCCATATGCATTTGCAAATTTATCTCCTAATAGAAACACCTCTCAGAACCCTCCCTTGTAACAGAGAAAAAATAGTGAAGTAAAACTAACAAAGTAAGTACCTCTGACAGTGTATGAAACAGTCTAAACTCCTAACCCTCCAACCTATTAAGTAGAGGGAAGTGTGTATCATTATCTCTTCTACGTGATTGGCCATTGCTTTTAATGTGAGTTCACTGCCTTGAATCATTGTTTTCATTTACATTCTTCTAATCATTGTGTATGTATGTATTATTCTCCTGATTTTGCTTTCTTTTATTTGCATCAGTTGCTACATCTTCCATTTTTCTGAATTCCTTCTTTCATCATTCCTTATGATATTTCTCTTTCATTGCATTTATATATCACAATTTTTTCAGCCTCTCCACAATTTATGTACATCTGTTTTAATTTTCATGTCATGCTCTCATGAAAAGTGCTGCTACTGATATTTTGGTATATATGGGACCTTTCTCTCATTGACTTCATTAAGTTATGTGCCCCAGAGGGGGATTGCTGGATCATGTGAATGGTTTTGTGATTTTCTTCAGTTATTTGTAATTGTTTCTTTTAGAACAATTGGACCAATTCACAGCTCTACGGACAGTGTATTAAAGTGCCTTCCAGCTCAGCCTCTCCAATATTGACTGTTTCTCTCTTGCATCATTTTTGCCAGTGTGCTGGTACAAGGTGAAACACTAAGCTTGTTTTAATTTCTATATTTCCCTTATTATTAGTGGCAGTGAATTTTTCATATGATTGTTGACAGTTTGCATTTCTTCATTTTAAAACTATATGATCATATCCACTAACCACATTACAGAATGATTGCTTAGTCTTACATGTATCAACTCCCTATATATCTTGAACATCAGACTTTTGTCAGAAGTCTCTCTCAATAGTGTTCTTATTCTAGTTGAAATAATTTTGCCCGTGAAAAGCTTTTAAATTTTGCACAAGTCAAAACTCTCCATTTGGCCTATTGTGGTCTCCTCTATCTATTGCTTGGTTTTGAATTCCCCTCCTAAACATAGTTTTGAAAGCGCAGAGGTAAAAATTCACAGATTCAGCATTGGAACCCAGGTCCCCCTGATTTCAAATCCAGTATTCTTTACAGCACACCACGGAAAGCATTGATCTAGTGTATTGGGAGACCTGGATTATCTGTCCTGACTCTATCTCTAACTTAATCTGTTGCCTTTGCTCACTTTCCATGGATTTGCAGTCAGAAAACCTGAGTTCAAATCCTGATTATGAAATTTACTACTTGTATGAACTGGAGCAAATTACTTCACCTCCCTCAGCCTCAGTTTATGCATCTGTAAAATGGAAGGGTTGGAATAGTCTCTAATTTCCCTTCTAGCTCTAGATCCTATTATTTTTGTTATCCCTAAACACACTGAAGCTATAGTTCTAAGTTCTAAAAAGACCCAGGGTAAGGGGACCTCGGCATATTTTCCTCTTGAAGCTTAATATGTCCAAAGAGGAATGAGGCCAGGGGAATCCTGAGGATTATTAGAAAGAAATGCCAACAATCAAAATAATAATAAAAACCAGAAAGCAGTCTCCCTTGACTGACCTCTCCCCAGAATCAGTAAGAAAAGACAGACTATAAGCAGTATCATTTTCTTGGTCTCTGTCTCCATCTCATCTCTCAATTCAAGTCCCTGCATTCTAAAAGACTGGGGCAGATAACATTTTTAAAAAGAGAAGATTCCAAGGGGGGAAGGGGAAGGGAGAGGGGACGACACTGCAATCTATAAATACCTGCAAGGTGACAATATAAATGAAGGAAGGGAATTCTGCCACCTCAGAAGGCACAGGATAAGGAGCTGACAGCCTGGGGCCAGAGGCAGGCTGAGGAGAGAGACTGGAACGAGGGCCAAAGGGACCCACAAGGCAGGAGCCCTTGGGCATTGGGGAAGAAGGCTGGAGGCGAGAAGGCAGGTGCAGTGGCCGCCTCCCACAGCCACAGGGAAGGGGGAACAGAAGTTTGTGAAAACAGTGGAGGGAGTAAAGCAGCCACATTCCTCCTGAGAGCTCACAGGGCTCCTCTGATTTGACCTATATAGCAGTTCTCAGCCCTTCCTGCTGCCTCCATCTTCAAATGCAGGGAGCCACATGGGCTCAGGAGTGGGAAGGCCTTTTCTCTTCCTTTAGAAATGATGGACTCTGTGGTTTTGGGAGACACTGACAAAGATCGGGTCAGATGCTGCTTTCCTCCTCCCATCTTACCTTCCACCTCCCACCCCAAATATCAGGCAAGAGGCAAAGTTGGCTCCTTTTATAGCTAATATAAAGAAGTGACTTTCCAGAAGCAAAATAACTCAAGTCATCAGAAGAGACTCTCAGCCGGGAAGGAAAAGGCCTATTTGGACTGATTCTTTGGGGCACTGAGTTTTGAGTTCCTATTAGCAAAGAGGAAATGACCAGAGAATGGACTTTGAGACTTGAGGAGGGGAATTAGAAGCATCACCTGGCTCTCAGAGGCCCCTGAAGATCCAAGGAGGGAGGTGATATGATGTAATAGAAAAAAGAGCCAGAAGAGCTATAGTCCAGTGCTTGGTTCATTCACTAACTCTTCACGTGACTTTGGACAAGTCACATCCCATCTGTAGGCTTCAGGGTCCCCCTGCATAAAATGAGAGAGTCTAGACTAGGTCACAGAATGTCAGGGCTGGAAGGAGCCCCAGCCGCCATGTAGTTGAACCCCTACCACAAAGGAGTCCCCAGCATGACACACCCTCAAAGGATCATCCAGCCCCTTACTGAAAACCACCCAAGGAAGGGGGGTCCACCAGCTCTCAAGGCATGCAGGGACAGGAGTAATTGTTAGGAAGTTTTTCCTGATATCAAGCCGAAATTTACCTTTTTGCAACTTCCCTAATTGCTCCCAGTTCTGCTCTCTGGGGACTAACAGAACAAATCTAATCCCTAAACCACATGAAAGCCCTTTGAATGCTTGAAGATCGCTAATTATCATGTCCCCTCCTGAATCTTCTCTTTCCCAGGCTAAGCATCCTCCGTTCCTTCAAATGGTCCTCGTAGGTCATAGACTAAGGGATCTTCTTCTCTCAACATACTCCAGCTTACCAAAGTCATTCTTAAATCACAGCATCAGGAACTGGGCATATCACTCCAGAGGAGGTCTGATGAGGGCAAAGTACAAAGACCATCATCACTTCCCTATTCCTGGAAGCTCTGCCTCTCATAGTGCAGCCCAAGATGGCATTAGCTAGGTTACATGGCTGACTCATATGGAGCTTGAAAACCATGAAAACCCCAAGGTCTCTTTAAGAAAAACTGTTTTCTCTCCATGATCCCTCTCTCTCACACTTAGGAAGCTGAATTTTTGTACTCAAGTGCAAGACTTGGCATTTATCTCATCAAATTTCATCTTATTAGATTCAGCTCAGTGCTCTAGCTTATCAAAGTTCTTTTGGATCTGGACTCTGGTATCTACCACATTAGTCCTCCCTTCCTAGTTTCATTAGCATCTGCAAAGTTGATCAATGTTCCATCTGTGTTTTTACCTAATTTGTTGATAAAAATGTCAAACAGCACAGGGTTAAGCACGAAGTCCTAGGGCTCTCTACTGGAGACCTCTAGTCATGTTGACATTGGACCATTGACAACTACTTGTGGAGTATAGCCATCCAACCAGGTCCAAATCCATCTGATCATATTATTGTCCAATCCATATCTCTCCATCTTCTCGACAAGGTAGTATGAGACACTTTATCAAAAGCTTTGCTAATGCCTTGGCAAACTATATCCACAGCATTCTACTGGTAGAGCCAACTCATCAGAAAAGGATTATGTTCTTGATGAAGCCACTCTGGCCCCTTGGATTCCTGCTTCCTTTTCTAGATGATCACCAACCACCCCTCTAAATGATCCCTTTGAGAATTTTCTCAGTAAGAAAAATCAAGTTTGCTAACCTGTTGTGTGTACAGGCTCAACTGGGACAACATTGGCATTTCTCTAATTTTGTGGCACCTCTCCTATTTTTCATGGCCATTCAAATATCTCTGATGATAGCTCAAAAATCACATCTGCCAATTGTTTTGGAACCCAGAGATGTGAGTCATTTAGGCCAGGTGATGATGTGAATTCAGGAGAAACAGCTAGATGCTCTTTTACTGTCTCCTCACTTATCTTGGATATCAACTCCCTGTTAATCATTTTTATTCTATCATTTACAATATAAAGGCATTCTCCTCTTCAAAGAAAACAGAAACAAATTTAAAATTGAGCAGGGATGTCTTCTCTCCATTCAGATATCATCCTATCCACCCTGAGTAATGGTCCTATTTCTTCTTTGATACCTCCCCTCTTTCCCGAAACTCCCCCCCAAAAAAAAAACTTTTTGACAACCTTGGCTTCCCTCACCAGCCCCAGCTCATTCTGAGCTTTAGCAATCTTGATAGTATTTCTTCAGGACCATTCCATACTCATAGTCATTCTCTGTTATCTGGACTTACTTCTATCTTCTGTACATTTTTTTTTTTTGGTGAGGCAATTGGGATTAAGTGACTTTCCCAGAGTCACACAGCTAGTGAGTGTTATGTGTCTGAGGCCGGATTGGAACTCAGGTCCTCCTGACTCTAGGGCCAGTGCTCTATCTACTGCACCACCTAGCTGCCCCATATACATTTCTTCTTAAAATCTAAATTTGTTGAGTTCCCTGTGTAGACACAATGGTATCTTCAAGCAAATTCCATTTTTCCTCCTCGTTAAAACTGTTTCCCTTTATGTCTTCAGAATGTCACCCTCGAGCATGTCCCGTTTCTCCTGATCTGACTTGCCCTGACACATTTTAGTCCATGGGATCCTATCTTTCTTTCCTCTGAACACTCTGAAGTCTGTTTTTTCCAAAATCTAGGGTATGTGTCAGACTATGCTCAGATTTCCACGCATTCTCTATCACAGACTCTCAGATGGGGTGATCACTGCTCCCTACATTTCTGTTATTTCCTCTCCAGCAGCCTTTTCATCCATATTAGTGAGAATCAGAACCAGAATAGAATTTCTTCTTGGTTCCTCTAAGATTTAGAGGATGAAATTATCACTAAAGCAAGTTAAGAAGTTATTAGTTATTTTGCTTTTGGGAAAAGGAGCTCTAGCAGATGTCTGAATACTACTTATAGCTCCTATCATTACTATTTCATGCCTCTGTGCCAAATGCATTGATCTGTTTCCTAAACTCATCAGTTTCCTCTTTCTGTCCAGGTGGTCTGTAGTATATTCTATTGAAAAAATAAATTGTTTTTCCCTCCACTGACCTTCACCCAAATATTCTTGATCATGCGTCCCCACTCCAGTTCCTGGATTTCTTCATGTGAGTACATCTTTTTAATGTGTAATGCTACCCAAATCTGAAGTCTTCTCCCTCCCTGATCCTTAATATTTTAGAGCCCTTTGATTAAATTTACAAGACACCTGGCAAATATATATTCTTACCAGCTTTTGTGTGAGATGCATACCCATCTCTGGTCAGGAATCTGCCAACACTATATTGTAAGATCTGATGCAGAAATCTAAATCCTATTCTTAGACAACAGCTATCAACTTCCCAAATTTTTTTTTATCTTCTACATCCCTTATCTTCAGTGAGGAAAACAACAACCTATGTTCCTATGACCTTCAGTTTCTGGCCCAAGGCTTCATAATCATTGGCAATACTTTTAAAATTCCTTCTAGAAGTGTCGTTGTGTCCGTGTTAACCCAGAAGTGGGTTATTGTCACCTATTTTGATAAGTCTTAGGAGGTTCTCTGTTATGTCTTAGATACATACCCTAGGAATACAACAGATCTCTCTATTATTGTTTTTAGGTCGGAACCATGACTACCCCATCTCTACTTTTCTGAACCCTAGGGACTTTATTTTTTTTTATTTTTTTTTAGGCAATTGGGGTTAAGTGACTTGCCCAGGGTCACACAGCTAGTAAGTATCTGCGGCCAGATTTGAACTCAGGTCCTCCTGACTTCAGGGCTCTATCCAATGCACCACCTAGCTGCCCCAAGGACTTTAGAAAGGACATGAGAAATCATCCAGGATCTCAGAGACCATCTAGTCTCATCCCTCTCATTTTACAGGGAGGTTAACGTGACTTACCCAAGGGCATCAAAGATAAGATTTGGACCCTAGTTGTCTAGCACTGGAGCCAAAGCTCTTTCCACTGTACCATGCTTCCATCTTCTCATTTGCCTTAAAATGAAGGCATATCTTCCAGTTTCCCATGCCACACTTCACTTTCTTCTCTCTGACCATTCATAATATCAATCAGTAATTATTCCTTTTACTGCTGTCATGGGAGGTAACATGCTACAACAGAAAAAAAAACCATAAGACTAGGGTCACAAGGATTGAGCCCTGGTATCAACCATGCCACTAAGTCCTTACTCCTTTTTGGGTAAGTCTCATGGCTTCTCTAGGACTCAGTTTCCTTTTCAATTAAATTAGAGGTTTGGACTAAATGATCATCATAAATTTAGGGCTATAATGGACTTTAAAGGTCCTTTTAATTTAATGCCTTCATTTTACAAATGAAGACAATGAGACCCACAGTTATTAAATGATTTTCCCAAAGTCACATGGGGAATAAGTGGCAGGGCCAGGATTCAGAGCCAGGTTTTCTGACTCTAAGTCCAGCACTTTGCCTGGTCTGTGAGGTTCCTTCCAGTTCTAACAATAACAAAAACATCTATGATTCTCATCAAGAACACTCAAAGTTTGCCCTAAATTGCTCCTTGTCTCCTGAGAACATAGCACTGTGCATTACATACAGTAGGCATCTAATAACTGTTTTGGGGGGAATTGGATTGGCCCTGATTTTGCACTTAGGATGACTATTCTCATGAAGGCTTTAGAACATTTTGTCTGCTACTCTTTTGGCAGGAAGACCAGGTTTCTCTTTAAATGTTAACTCCACAGTTTTACAACTGAGAAATGGAAACACCTTTTAACAGGCAGCTCTGCTCACATAATTCATAGACCATGAGAACTAGAGGACCTTAGATGTCTTCTAGTCCAATGCTCTCAAATAGGAAAAAATCTGAGGAGCACAGGGGAATATGCCCAAGGACACACAGCTAAAGCTAGCAGCTACAACTTGAATACAGGTCTCAACTCGAGGTTTAAATATTCTTTCCATCATACCATCCCACTTCCTAGACTGACTGTGAGTTCAGTCTATAGCCAAAGAATGCTGCATCAGGTTGGAGTTCCTGGTGGAGAAATGGAGGCTAGAGCTCACAGAATCAGAGTTTCAGAGCTGGATGGAGCCATTGAAACTCTAGTCCAGTTCCCCTTATTCTGCACATGATACTTCAGAAGAGGAGATGAGTATCCAGTGTAGTCTGAAAAACAATTATCAAAGAACTTCCTCTCATTAAAATTCTGTTGAGGTCTCTACCTTCTACCACCGTTCTTTCCTTCATCCCCACCCCAATCCCCTAATGGCAAATTCCAAAGATTATTAGATTTTGTGTGGTAGAGTAGAAAGAGATCAAGAGATCTAAATTTATGGTCCAGCTCTGACACTTTCTGTGGGACCCTAAGTAAGTTGCTACCCTGGGACTCAGTTATCTCATCTGTAAACTTAAGATGAGGTTCACCCCTATACTTCATATGGTCATCTTAAGGAAAGTTCTCTGTAAACCTTTAAAGTGAACCCAGAAATAAATGTTATTAAGATTCTTCTTACTTTTTTCTTCTTCTTCAGACTTAGATAGCCCAGAAATTGTAATAGCAGTAACCCCACGAATGAACATCCCACATAGGAACAGCACGGATACTAATGCCAACACGTTTATGCAGGATACCTTTTCTTCTTCCCGTAAGGGAACGATTACAAAGTTAACAGACCCCTCAACTAGCTTCCAGGGGTATGATTGGAAGATGAAGAATTTAATTGAGAAGACTCCAAGTGTGAAGCCAGAAACAACCTCCATGCTATTGAAGCCTCAGGAAGTTCTTAGCTGTAGGTAAGGACAATGAGGGCAGGGAACAGGGTTTATCAAGGAAACTGGTGTGGACACAGATAGCCAAGGCTCTGATAGAGTAGCTTCATTGGTCAACTGAATTCCTAGAGGGCAATGGGCCTAGGTATCTTCTCTTCCCTTGCAAATTACCAAAAGCAAAAACAAAACTCAACAACCTGAGAATGGCCTGGCAGATAGGCTGACAGAGGCAATAGATTTATTCTGCTTGGTCCTAAAGAGCGGAACTATGAGAAATTGGGTGGAAAAAAACAGGGAGGATGGTATCACCTCAGTGTAAGGAAGTGCCTCCTCACAATTAAAACCTTTCAATAGTGGAATCAGCTGTCTCAGGAGATAGTGAGTTCCCCAAAACTAAACCTCTTCAAGTAAGAGGCTAGCTGCTCTCTAGAGATTAAAGAGAGGATTTAAGCTTCGGGTAAGAGGTTAGGTGAGATTACTGCTAGGGTCCCTGTGGATTACAAGGATTCCATGACTGATAAAATCATGGACTGATTCCTTTAAAAGGTGAACAAGCTGATCCTTCCTTACCTTGATGGTCTGATTCACTGAAAGTGGACCTAACCTGAAAAGCATCACTTCTAGAGGGATCTCAATTCATTTGAACAAACATTCTTTGTTAACATGACTACTATATACAGGGAATATTCTAGGCATTGGAATAACTCCTTCTTAGCCTGGCTACAAGTGGAGAAGCTGACAGCTTTCGTAGTTCACCAACTCACAGAAAATGGTGATTCTAAAGGACATCTAAGGGACATTTGTGATAGAGAACATATGATATATGTCTAGAGGAATGAATTCTTAACAGATTCTAGAATCACTCCAAATAAACTCAGATATTATTGCTGAGTTCTGCTAGGCCTCTAACTAGCTTCTACCAACTTCTGGCCCAATAGCCTTAAAGCTGTGGTTTCCATAATAAGCACGATGTTCTTACATTCCTACTACTGAGTTTCACTTGGAGAACTCTGCTAGGTACTATTTGCCCCTGAGATGATCTAATTATTGTAGGTTTTAGCTAGATTAGACATTATCATCTAATCCATCTAGCCCATGCATATCTAGCACAGGGCCTTACATGGTCTAGTAGATAGAGTTCCAGTCCTGGAGTCAGGAAGGCCTGAGTTCAAATCCTGATGTATGATCACAGGCAAGTCACTTTAACTCCTTGGGCCTCTGATACCTCATCTAAATAAGAGGGATGAAAATAACACTATATACTTCATGAGGTTATAGTGAAAATCAAACAAGGTAATTAAAGTCAAGCCCTCTACATACCTTTAAGTGCTATACAAATGGTAGGCGGTTTTGTTAATCTAGCCCCTCTTCATTGTGAATATGGAAAAATATGTGGATATGAAAAAATTGAGCCCCAGCCCTCTGACTTCAAACCTGGTGCTCTTTCCACTATAAAACATGGTGGTTCTCAGGCCGCAGAAGGCAATCAGCCTCCAACCTTTGGACATTATGTGGGTGGAATTGACTCTCACAGAGAAAGGTCCTATTGATTGTTTTGGGATTGACTCTAATTTTCTTCTTTATTCTCTTTTACAGGATAGGGAGAACACCATACCAACACAAACACTTGCTTTTTAATTCAAAGCCATGATTTCACATGACCCTAGATACAGTGGTGCTCTTCCCCCTCCTTTATGTCTGATCAAGTTCCACTCAGTCTTCCTAGGCCAGAGTCAAAGCTGACCTTCTCCAGAGAGCCTTCTTTGTCTCTGTTACTTATTGTAATTAGAATGATGTTGAAAAGTGTGGGGTCAGAAGAAGGCTGACTGGACAGGCAAGATGAGCCACTACCTGTAGGCTTCTCATTGATTTAAGAGCTCCACTTTACTCATTCGCCCAGGGCTGACCAGGGTATACAAAATCAATCACGGCAACCAGATTCACCAGAGGTTGGTTTAAAAGCTAGAAAGCCAATGTATTACGTACGGCATGTGGTGGAGGAGCAGAATACTTCGTACCTGCTATCCAGGTACACAAAACTTCCTGGTACACAAAACTCTGAATTTATATTTATCATGGACTCACATGTCTCTCACCAGTATGATGTCTGCTCCTTGAGGGCAAGGGCTGACTTTTTGGTCTTTGTGTCTTTGATGCCTCACTCAGAGCCTGACATTTATGAAGAGCCCTTCATAAATGCTTATTGGTTTGAATTGAACTAGTTATCAAAAAATTACTTGGTGAGCTGGGTGTCAGGTCCAAACAGGGCAACCATTTCTGCCAGCCTGCATTCGAGCTTGGTGGCTTCCTTTGGTTTCAATGAAAAGTAATAGCTGACATTTATAGAGGCTTTAAGGTTTACAAAGCACTTTACATACATTATCTCTCTTGATCATCACATCAGCCCTGTGAAGGGAAGGTGTTATTATCTTCTCTGTTTTACATGTACAGAAGCAAAGGCTCAGAGATGTCACAAGGCCACACAGCCATTAAGCGTCAGAGACAGGTGTCAACATTAGGTTTCTTCCGAATTCCACATTCACCATTCTTTCCAGCGTGCCACATGCTTCCTTTCTTTTCAGACAGTGATATTTTCTGAACTGCTTCCCAAACTTGGGAGTTCTCTTTGTTTGGAGGGTGCCCTCGCCCCCTTCACTGACTGCCCTTACAGTTTGTACTCATCATTGAGCACTTAATAACTATTGCTTTGTGTTGTTAACTGTTTTCTGACTCTCTGTGTGTGTCTTTTCCTCAACTCAGCTGACTGTAAGTTTCTGGGGATCAGGAGCCACGTCTTCCATTTTCTTTCATTTCCTTTCTGTACCTAACAGAGGACTGATCCGACAGCAAATATTTGTTGAATGAATGAATGAACACTCATCCAGTTTAACTCCTTAGGAACCAGCTAGAGAGCCACTGAAGACTGCTTAGTATCCATGGTGTCACTTCAATAGCCCATAAACAAGGGCTGGTCCACAATTTATCACTTTTCTATCCTGGCTCAGCCATATATCACATTATTTAAAATACAAGCAGTCTAAAGTGTTTTGGGGTCACTAACAAAATCAGTCCAGCCAATCCATCAGAATCTTAGAGAGTGATTTTAACCCAGCAGGCATATATTGAAGCCTATGCCATGGGAAAGACTTCATGTAACTTTGGGCAAGTCACTTTTGCCCTCAGGACCTCAGTTTCTTCCTCTGGAAAATGATGGCATTACAGGAGCAGGCAAAGGCAATGTGGGTTTGCAGGGAAAGTACATATCTTTCTGGAAAGGCCGGACCCTGACAAATGAATGGTGGAGAGTTAGCTGGAAAAAAGTTGGGGGGAGGAGAACAGAAATGCCATGAAATTTGTTCATCTAATTCACATTTCCTCTTCCATTGCTTAATGCAGACTTATCCCTATCTGTGGAGGAAACTCATTTACTTGGAGAAGTCTGATAGCTCTTCATTATAAAGCTAGGGGCTGGAAGCTCCAGAGGGAGGAGATCCATAGTGATGGAAGGCGATCTATGTAATGGGGGAGTATGAGTCCACAGAACTGATATTTACTAGCTGTTTTCCAGGGTAGTCTTCATATCCCTGACACTGAGTTTCTTCAACTTTAAAACAGGGGTAAATAATATCTCTAGCACCTGCCTCACTGGCTTGTTGTGAGTTTTATAATAAGGTCACGAGTGAGTTTGGCTTTGTAATCTTGAAATCTCTATGTAATTCTTTATCATCATTATAGTGGTAGCAATTATAGCATCTGAGTTTAAGCAAGGCACTTGCTCCTCAGTTTCCTCACCTATAAAATGGGAAGGTTAGATTCAGTGGCCTCTAAGGTCCTCTGTGTGTGTTTCTCTCTCATTGTATGTGTATATTTACATATACACATACACATACATATATACACTTGCATGTGCACACACACATGTGTGTACTTTGTATGCATAAATACATTTGTTTATATGCATGAATGTATACATAGATATATATGCATACATAGATACACATGTATACATAGATATATATGCATATGAATACACATAAACATATATAAAGAGGGGCTAGGGAACTTTAGAGGCATTGAGTCTAACCCTCTCATTTTACAAGTGGGGAAACTGAGGAGCAAGTGACTTGCTTAAGCGCTCACAAATAACAAGTGGCAGAGGCTATAATTGCTCCCACTATAATGATGAAGATGATAATGATGTATTATATATTATTTTTAGTATAGTACATTTCTACACCAAACCATGGGACACGTATGTATTATAGATGTGTATGATTTAGAGTTGGAAGGGAACCGTAAAGCTCTAGTCCTATCTCCCATATTCACAGATGCATAAACTGAAGCCAGGAAAGGCAAAGTATTAGTCCAAGGTCTCCCAACAGGACTGAGCAGAGGCAGCACCCCAGCCCTGGTCTTCTGCCTTTTCACATCTGCCATGCTGTAATTTAAAGTGTCCTTTTAGCACCAATATATGCGTAGCATTCATTTTGGTTTTTTAAATAATGTTTTATTTTTTCCTAATTACATATAAACTTTTTTAACATTTGTTGTTGTTTTTGTTGTTTATTCTGAGTTCCATATTCTAAACCTCCCTCTCTGCCCTTCTCCCTCCCTGAGAAGGTAAGCAATCTGATATAGGTTATGCATACACGATCATGTGTAACATTTCCATATTAGTCATTTTGTGGAGGAAACTTGAACAAAAAAAAAAGAAAGGAAGTGAAAAATTGTATGCTTTGGTCTGTATTCAGAAGCCATCAGTCCTTTCTCTGGAGGTGGATAACATTTGTCATCATGAGTCCTTTGGGATTGTCTTGGACCATAGCATTGCTGAGAAAGCAGAGTCATTCACAGGTGTTCATCATACTATATTATTATTACTGTGCACAATGTTCTCCTGGTTCTGCTCACTTCACCCAACATCAGTTCATGCAAGTCTTTCCAGGCTTTTCTGAGATCATCCTGCTCATCACTTCTCTTTTTTGGTAAGGCAATTGGGGTTAAATGACTTGCCTAGGGTCACACAGCTAGTAAGTGTCAAGGTTTGGTCTGAGGTTAGATTTGAATTCAGGTCCTCTTTGACTTCAGGACCAGTAGTTTATTCACTGCGCCACCTAACTGCCCACTCATCGCTTCTTATAGCACAATAAAATTACATTCCTCAATTTAGGAACATCCCCTCAATTTCCAATTGTTAGCCACCACAAAAAGAGCTGGGCACTTCCTTTTGAAAGGCTCCAGATTCCTCAGCAGCAAAGTCTATAGTTTTCAAAGGTAACCCAATTTCTTTGGAACAGTTCCAATAAAGTATAAGGATACTGAGACAGTTTCACCTTCACACTTTCAACCAAACATCTTTTTTTTTTTCAATTGCTCCTACAGGTACTTGCGGCTCTCTAAGAACAATGTCAAGACCTTGATTAAGCTGTGTAAGGATGCAGGAATGGATGTAGACATTCATCCTCACATGAATGAATCTGAAATGAATGCCAACAAGATATTCAGCAGAAAACCTAACACAGCCCTCTAAGTCACTCTCTCTTTTGCTAACTTGGGTCTACTTGAAAAAAAGTTGATACTGCCCGTCCTCCAACCATGCCGCTAGCCTCTAATTTTTAGGCAGGTCTGATATCTAATTTAACAACAGCAGTAACAATCAGCAAACCGAAAGAAGATTATGATATTTGCATATTGTAATGCTTTATGGTGTTTCTCAGAGAGGGTCCAATCTGGGAGAATCCATTACTTAGTTTTCCCAAAATGTTACCTACAGCTAATGATAGAAGTTTCACACTCACCTAGATTGGCTTCAAACAGGCAGGCTTTTTAATCACAAGTCAATGACTCATTTTGCCCCACCCAGAATTCTCCCTGGGAATGTTAGGATCTGGCTCGTGACTCTTAAGGCCCAGTCCCTTGTAAGAAACCAAGGCTACCAAAGCACTAGTACAGGTTCATTAACAGGCATGTGAAGAACAGAGAAAGGGCGAATCACCTTCAATGCTTCAAGAATCTATAATTTCAAAGCCATAAAACCTCTTTCCCTTCATTAAGACCTCTCTCATTGCCCTGGAAATGGTGGTCTTTGTAAATTGTTATAACCAAAAAAAAAAAAAAAGGAACCCTCATCATTCCCCAAGGACAATCTGGTTATGAGACCCTCTAAAAACAAGCCTGGTCCTCAGACAACAGAAACTCATTTTTCCTTTAAGTCAAAATAATCCATCCTGATGTGCAAGTTTTCCAATGCAGATTTCAAGAAGATTTGGGGTATGGAAAAGACAAAATCAGAGTTATGGAAAGGGCATCAAAAGACTAATTCCTTTCATTCACATACCCTCATACCCCCAACCTTGTTCTGTGCCCAACAATTTCTGGTGAAAGCCAGGTATCTGCTTGAATTGCGTGGTGGTGAGTTTTTCTGCATCTGTTTCTAAAATCCTTGTATCAGAGACATTTGTAGCACTGGGGGTCTGAGTTCTATTCGTTAATTGACTTGAGCCTTCAAAACCTAGAAAAACCTGTATATTGGAGAGTCCGGTAGACAAACATCAACTCTATCACTTTCAAACACATAGGCCATACACTATGGTTTTGTTAAAGGAAAACTAACAATTTGAACTCAGGTCCTCTTGACTTCAGGACCAGTAGTTTATTCACTGCACCACCTAACTGCCCACTCATCGCTTGTTAGCACAATAAAATTACATTCCTCAATTTAGGAACATCCCCTCAATTTCCAATTGTTAGCCACCACAAAAAGAGCTGGGCATTTCCTTTTGAAAGGCTCCAGATTCCTCAGCAGCAAAGTCCATAGTTTTCAAAGGTAACCCAATTTCTTTGGAACACGTTAGTTAGAAGGAGCCTTAGAGATTAACCAAACAAAAGGCTCTTCATTTTACACAAGGGGAAATTGAGTGACAGAAGAAGAAAGTTAATTTCTCAAGGTTGCACAGCAGATTAACAAAACCTTTACTAAAAACCCATGTCTTCTGACTTTGTTAGATTCTACTACACTTCCCACTGTACTGTACAACTTTTCACCTATGATCCTCTTATATAACTCCTATAATACAAAAGGTAGGAACCAGACTGTGTCCTTTCTTCCTCAAAAAATTCTAGGGCCACGTTTCTTTTCCTTTCAGAACCAAAAGCACCCCAAAAGAAGGTAGATATAAAAATATTTTAAATCACCATAGAGCCATTGAACCACTGAATGCTGGAGATGAAAGTGCCATATGTCTATATCATCCTACTTCAATCTCCTTATTTGACAGATATTATTATTTAGTAGTAGTAGTAGTTTCAGTCCATTAAAAGAAACCAGCCGTCTGGTTAGCTATCGATGCTCAGAACTCAAAAACAATATTTTGTTTTGTTTTTAAAGTCCAATAACCCTATCCATTACAGTGTTGAATGATCTATTACAACTGGTATGAATAAGAGGTTTACTGTTCGTCTCCAGAGAAATAAGCAACAGATCATTTAAAATGTCATCTACAAACAGCTAGTCCTACAAGGAAATGGCTTTGCCTTTTACAAAGACGAAAAATACTACGGAAGGACAAATTCAGACTTTTAGACTCCCTAGTCAAGTTAAAACTATCTTTGCCCCGCCTTCTTTATACATACATATGGATGCTTCTTTTCTCGTGTTTAAAGCATCTTTACCCATAGAAAGTTCCTTCTCATATCTAACCTACTTCTTGCTGCATTTTGAGACCATTTCCTCTTACTTTGTAATCCATGGAAGAGAAGAATAGGTTAGCATCTTCCTCATAGTTACCTTGGGGGTGGGGATAGGAGCTTAATAGGTATCAAATGAGTTTACGAGGGTCAAAGGGCTTTGAAAAGTTAAGGGTAGTATACAAAGTAAAATTCCAATCCTAATAATAAGCAACAATACCGTCCCCCTTCACTTTCTCACATTCAGGCTTAATGACTTCAAACTACATTAACTTTTCCTCGCCACATGCATTTTTAAAATGCAGATATCAAAATGAAGCGAGACACTTCTTCACCTCCTCCTCCTCATCTTCCCGGCTCCCTCCCCCCACATAAGGCTAAACGTAAGAGTTCTGGCCAAGGAAAAGTAATATTGCTTCCCAACTTCTGCATATAGCATATACCTGATAAATAACTATGTCACTTTATGTTCATAGGATTTAGAATTACAAGGGAACTTATGTAAAACATAGGGTAGATTTAGAGCTAAAAGACACTTTCAATTTAGCAATTCAACAGGCAATTATTAAGCACTACTGTGTGCCAGGCTGGAAACTACTAGGTGCTGCAAAGAGAAAGATGAAAATGCAAACAATCTTGTACCCCAAAGGAGCCTATATTCTACCAACAGAAGCAACATGTACATGGATAAGTATATGAAGGGCCTTGAGATTACAAAAGAGACAAAAGAATTGCAAAATATTATAGATCAAAGTCCCTCATTTTCCAGAGGAGAAAGCTGGGACCCAGGGATTAAAAATTTCCCCAAGGTCACAGAGATTGCAAGGGGCAGAACTGAGGTTTAAACCCAGTTTAAACTCTGATTCCAAAAACCATTCTTTCCAGTACACATCATTTCATTTCGTTTTACCAATGGTAACACATAGCTGACATCCTCACCTTGTGGCCCACTAAGAACACGAGCTTCTTGTTGGACTTGTGCTCCATAACCATCCTTCTTGTACAACCCACCAAGGGGAGTCTACTGGAGTAGGGGTAAGGAGACCAGGAAGTCTTAGTTCCAGAGGACTGTGATGTCACAGAAAGCCTTTTAGGAGCTGTCTTTCTGTCTCTCTGATCCAGAGTTTACCTCTGCCCTTTATTCCTCTTACAAAGGACAAGTGGCCAAAGACATAATGTTCTTGCCTACCACTCCAATCACCTCCCAATCCTATAGGAGAACAGGGGAAAGTTCTGAGAGTAGTCAGCTTTTATAAAAGACAACCAAGCTTCTACATTTGCCACCCCTCAAGCCCCAAACCCTGGGAAGAACAAAAGGAAAAGAAATTGGCACCATATCAGAGCTAATTTTCCAAAATCCAATTCCACTCACTGGCAAATAGGACTTCAGAGACCAAGAATAGAAGGAAGATGGGGGTCTGCAATGCTCCAATTCCACTTCTCCCTGATCCTTTTGAATCTAAAACCTGTAAGTGATTTCTGCCTCCTCAAATTTCTTGGGAGACTTTGTCTGGATCTCACATTTATCTCCATTGTATTCTACTTTGTATTATGCTTTTTTGTTTATATTTATACCTGGCCTGACCCCTAATACTGTACAAATACCCTGAGGGTCTTTGTCTTATCTCCAGCAAGGAGTATCCGAGCCTAATAAGTCCAGGACACTTAAGAAATATTTGGTGAAGTGAATCAAATCAGATTCACAGGCTCATTGATTTTAAGCCAGAAGGGAACTTAGAGGTCATCAACTCCTAATTTTATATAGATGAGGAAACTGGCGCCCAAATAGGTGAATTGACTCACCCAAAATCACACAGGTAGTTCAAATAAAGTCAAGTCAACAAACATCTACTAAGGACCAATATGCCCTAGGCACTGTGATAAATATAATCTATTAGTGACAGAATTTATAAAATGTAAACTCCTTGGGGGCAGGCTTTTTGATTTTGACTTTGGGTTTCCACCACCTGGCACAGTGTGATGCATACACTAGGCTCTTAATAAATACATCTTGAATGAATTAATTAAATGTACTAGAATTTAAACCCAGGTCTTCACTAAAAGTCCAGCACTCTTTCCAAGAATCTTGGTATAGTGGCACTAGTACTGGATTGCGGTTAAGGAGACCTGGGTTCAAATCCTAGCTCTTTTGCTTATTATTTCCATGGGGAAGCCAATGACCTCCCTGACCTTCAGTTTTCTCATCTATAAAACTGGGGAGTTGGAACTACAGTTTTATATAACTATGTCCCTATAAATTGAGTTGAGATAGTTTAAACGGAGGGGGAAAATATCTTTTCTACAGCTCATCTTATCTTTGACTTTGATTCCCTGAGTTCTGACCTGACCTCTCACTCTCTTATCTAGCCAGAACTGTTCCTAACCTACTCTTCTACTCTTCCCCTCAGCTTTCTTCCATAATAAATCAGTTCCTGAAATCTACCACCAGGTGGGGCTCAGTTACAGCAGAAAATTCATCATATTTTCTAGATCCCAGGAAAAGAGTTATCTTCACTACACGTGTTGACATTGTTCCTACTCATCACACACACACACACACACACACACACACACACACACACACACATATACATGCACATAGGTCCCATCTTTTCCTTCTTCCTACGTAAGGCAGGAATGTTGTAACCGATTTCCAAAATCATAGATAGATTAAATATAATCAGTAGGTTGAATAGCACATACCCAAACTCCCACCCTGGGTGAGTTAACTATAAAGTCCAGCCGATGATATGCTGATCAGCTCCAGCTCTGCAAGGAGCTGTCTGGAAATTCTAAAAACTATGGGGCAGGCCCAACGCTGAGATTTGGGAATCAATCAACAGGCATTTTATTAAGTGCCTTCTATGAGCTAGACACTATGCTCTTCACTGGGGATACAAATAAAAAAATGAACCAGTGCCTGCCCTCAAAGAGCTTATATTTTATATTCTAATGGGAGACAACATGTACACAAACCAGTATATGTAGAAAACATACAAAGTGAATAGAAGGCGATTGTGGGGGCACTAGAAACTGGGGATTCAGGAAAGGTTTCTTATAGAAAGTGTTACATGAGCTGAGTCTTGAAGGAAACCAGGGTGTGCGAAAGGCATAGGTGAGGAAGGAATACACCTCCACCCTTGCTTTGCAGAGATGGACGAACAAGGATGGGGAATGCAACATACTTTGTCAATTTTTTTCAATTTTGGTGAACTGAGGTTTTTTTTTTCCTCCTTTTTATTCTTTGTTATAAGGTATGAATGACTCTGGGGGAGGGGGAGGAAAAAGGATACATTGGAAAATAAAAACAGAATAGATCAAAATTAACAGCAACAAAACAACCTGTGAGGCTTTGAGAAGAACATACACTAGAAGGCTAGTGCTCCCAGTGCTACTAATTCCATTCGTGTGGCCACTGGGGGTTGGAGAAGAGGTGCCAAGTACGTTTTGAATGGAGCATTCACCCAGAAATGTTTCCCCATGAGACATTAGTTATTTTGTCTCTATTTTAGGCTGGGGGGGAGACGGACTTCAAAGGGAGGGACTCCCTTGATCTCAAGGGCTAGTCATAAAGTTTAGAGATGGAAGGGACCTTAAAGATCATTTAGTCTGACCCTCTATTTCTGGAAGAATAATAATTTCAGGCCCAAAGAGGAAAAGGTTACATGTCTAGTATAAGTACCAGGACTCCAATCCAAGTTGTTTAATTTCACATCAAGGGTGTTGTTTCGCCCCATTCCCCTTACTGGATACAATCCCAAGAAGTCAGAACATTAGGCAAAGCAACCAAGAGTTTGGCCCAGAGTCACAGATTCACAGAATTTGAGTTGGAGGGGACCCTGACTGCCTTCTAGTCCAACTCATACATGGTATAGTCCCTACTACATAACATGCTCCCATACCTCACCCCCCGCCCGCCAACCCCTGACCAAGAGCCAGCTGTTTCTAGGGTAGGTGCTACCTTACCTCCTGATGATCAAGACCTGCCCCCAGTTGCCGTATGTGTAGTAGGCAAAGGGGACTGGAAGCATCTTGAATATGAAATAAACCCTTATCTAAGAAACAGAAAAAAAGAAATCATAGTGGTTATACAGATCACAATATACCAGAGAACATACAAAAGTGAATAAACTCTTTGGATATGAGTAAGATGAGATCTTGGGCAGCTAGATGGTGTATTGGATAGAATGTCAGTCCTAGAATCAGAAAGACTCATCTTCCTGAGATCAAATCTGACCTCAGACACTTAGCAGCTGTGTGACTCTGGGCAAGTCACTTAAACCTGTTTGCCTCAGTTTCCTCATCTGTAAAATGAGCTAGAGAAACCATTTCGGTATCTTTGCCAAGAAACCCTCAAATGGGGTCATGAAGAGTCGGTCACAACTGCAACGACTGAACAACAAGATGAGAGGACCTACTCTCACCCCAGAGAACGTCTCCGAAATCTCTGCAGCGGCAAGATGGAAATCAGGGACAGGTTGAGGAGCTGATATCCCTTACATGTGTACATCTTCCAAAGTCTTTCCACAAGTCTCCCTCCCAAGAAAAAAAGATGAGAAAAATAAGAAATAATATTTAATCCTAGAATTACTAGGAATTTATTGATTAGAGGAAGGGGTAGCATGGTCAGACCAGAGCTTTAGGGAAAATACTTTGGCAGTGTTTTGGAGGATGGGGAGACAAGGAGAACAATACAAAAGTTTTTGTAATAATCCAGTGAATAGATGATGAGGGATTGAAACAGGGTGGTGGTTGAATGAAAGGATATTGTGAAAGTGAAAATGACAAGATTTTTAGACAATGAATAGATATATGGAATGAATGAAAGTGAAGAGTTGAAGATGATATTGAGGCTGCACCAAACATGACAAGCTGGGTGATTAGAGGATGTAGGGTGCTTGCAACAAAAATAGGAAAGTTTGGAAAGAGGGTGGCCCTGGAAAGAGAAAGGAGCAGGGAGAAAATATAATAAGGTTTTCAATGCATATTGCAATCCACCCATGCCTGCTCAGCCTCTGTGTCTTATTCTGATCCACCCCACATAAAAAGGGGAGAAGTGGGACTCATAGTGTTTACTGCCCTAGAGTGCAGAGTCCCTCTCCCCCAGGAATACCTGCTTTAGCTGGGAGGTGATCTGGGGCAGCGGATTCTATGCTGGGAGCAGGGAGAGCATTTTCTCAATGGTGCCTGTGTAGTGATTGCTGTGAATGCTATGTAGTATGCATGGAATGCAATGAATGCAGTAACAGTTGGATTAGAACTGCCTTGAGGAGCTAACTCCTGGTGGAAAAGCTGAAGATTGGGGAAATGGTGAAGGATAGGCATGGATAAAGTATGGTTTTGTTGAAGGCGAGCCTCATAATTGGCTGTCATTGGAGGGGGGACTGGGGGCTCATAATCCTACCTTCTAATTAGTCATGAGGGTCAGATCGCAGCCCCCACTTTGGAGATCATGCTTTAAGGTATAAAGCACTTCCCTCATAATCATCCATCCTATGAGGTGAGTAGCAAGCCCTCCTATTTCAAAGATATGGAAACTAAGGTGCAAAGAAATTAAGTGATTTGACCAGAGAAATACGATACATACACGTCAGAAACAGGACTCGAATTTAGATCTCCTGTGAGAGTAGTTCTGTATTTACAAGAAGCCCAGCATCAGAAGGATTTTCACCCAATGGAAAACAAAGCTCACAGACCTTGTAGGCACTACAGAATGTCAGAGTTGGAAGGGATCTCAATGCTCATCTAGTCCAAGCCAGTCCTTTCTTGTGGGTCTCCCCAGACCCTCCCATTAAGCAAGTTCCCTGGCATTGCTGGCAGCCTTTCTCTCTCTGTACCTATGCAGATGTTGACAGTGGAAGCCATCCCTGTATTAGCCTTCATGCAAGCTGTTTCCTGCCAAGAAGCCCTAGATCCTCCCTGGGGGCAATGTTAGCCAGTTTCCTCTGGTCTGGGCTGGTCTGGGCTGGCAGAGAAAGCAAAGACACCCTGGGCAGAGGCCCCTCCAGAATACACAGCGGATAGAGGACTCTGGGAGGGAGGCTGTTCCCATAGTCCTAACTAGGATGGGCAGCCCTGGGCCTTGGGGGAGGAGGGAAGAGACACCACCCAGCTGCCTCCTCCTCCTCCTCCTCCTCACAAAAAGCAAGCAGGGAGGAAGAGGAGAAGGAGACACAAATTAAGATGCATGCGCAGAAGCAAATACATTAATAATCAAGTGCCAGAGTCAATGCACACAGCATCCCAGGGCTGCCTGCTTACAGCTGGGGAGCCTGCAGGGGATTGGTGGGCCCTGCTCTCCCAGAGGTGTTCAGTTTGCTTCAGGCAAAGGCCAGTCCATCCCCCCAGCCCCCAACAAGCAGTTCACTGCCCCCCGGGACCCAGTCAAGGAGGACCTGAACCAAAGGAGGGGAGGGAATGGGGGCTGCCTGGGTAGCCAGTTGGCTTCAAAGAGAAATCGACTTTCAA